ATTCTTTTTTTTTTTTTTTTGGAAATGGAGTCTTGCTCTGTTGCCAGGCTGGAGTGCAGTGATGTATCTTGGCTCGCTGCATCCTCTACCTCCCAGGTTCAAGTGATTCTCCTGCCTCAGCCTCCCAAGTATCTGGGACTACAGGTGCTTGCCACCATGCCCAGCTAATTTTTGTATTTTTAGTAGTGATGGGGCTTCACCATGTTGGACAGGATGGTCTTGATCTCTTGACCTTGTGATCTGCCCACCTCAGCCTCTTACAGGTGTGAGCCACTCTACCTGGCTGGCTCATCTATTTTTTACATTACTTTCCACCATTAGCCAACCCATTCAAAGTTCTAAGTCACTAATTGACTTCACAACAACTTCACTTTGAAAATGTAAGCAGCTTATAAATTGGGAGCTGCCACTGTTTACATGCAGCCAGAGACCCGCTCATGATTCTTACTGCTGTAAGTGGGTGGAAGGGTAGTAGGTGGGGAAGAGCAATTTTCTTTGTCTTTCCACTTAAACACAGCTTTTGTAGAGACAAGGCAGTTTGAAAATCAGTGGTCAGGAACTACACATGACTATGAAAATGCAAACCAAGGCATCCAAAGATTTACATCAACGGTAAAAACATCACTATTGCTGAAAAGCTGCACCCATCAATCGTGTGCTGCGGCACATTTAGTTCCAAGTCTGAGAACACTGAACCTGGGCGATCTATCTGCATATGTCTCAGGCTAACCACACAAATTTTGCAGATGAAGCTAGAAGTTAAGATAGGTAGCTTAGGACACACAGTTGATGTGGACCAAAAGGGCTTCATAAAAGAGTCAAATGCAGTAATGACATTAATAGAAATGTTGATGCAGAGAAAGAAAGTCTTTTTCTGTGGTGCACTACTGTCTCTGAAAACTGAGGAAGGCTTTCACGACAAAGAAGTAATCTTTTGTTAGCTGTACACAACAAGATCATACAAATCCCATAAAGAGGGCTTGCAAAATAAATGCAAAGCTTGATGCCTACATATAATTCATATAATTTCCTCTCCTGTGGTGTTATTTCATAAACACTTGTCAAGAGATCAATCCCTTAGTCACAAGAGTCAGGCTACACATCACCTTGGGGGAAAAATTATTTAATTTCCGTTGGTGATGTAAATGCTACTTTTTTTTTTTTTTTTTTTTTTTTTTTTTTTTTTTTTTTTTTTTTTTTTTTTTTTTTTTTTTTTTTTTTTTTTTTTTTTTTGAGACAGAGTTTTGCCCTTGTTGCCTAGGCTGGAGTGCAGGGGCATGATCTCTGCTCACTGCAACCTATGCCTCCCAGGTTCAAGTGATTCTCCTGTCTCAGGTTCCCTAGTAGCTAGGACTACAGGTGCCTGCCACCACACCAAGCTAATATATATATATATATATATTTTTAGACGGAGTTTCGCTCTCGTTGCCCAGGCTTGAGTGCAATGGCAGGATCTCAGCTAACTGCAATCTCCACCTCCTGGGTCCAAGCAATTCCAATGCCTCAGCCTCCTGTAGCTGAGATTACAGGCGCCTGCCACCACACTCGGCTAATCTTTTGTATTTTTGGTAAAGATGGGGTTTCACCATGTGGGCCAGGCTGGTTTCAAACTCTTAAACCCAGGCGATCCACCTGTCTCAACCTCCCAAAGTGCTGGGATTATAGGCATGAGCCACTGCACCCAGCTAATTTTTGTATCTTTAGGAGAGAAGGGATTTCACCAGGTTGGCCACGCTAGTCTCAAACTCCTACCTCAGGTGAGCCACCTGCCTCAGCCTGTAAATGCTACTTCAAATTCCATCAATTGCCGAACTATCTTTACCATACGTTCTTTTATGTAGTCAGTTCTCTTGAAATATCTAATGGCCACTAAAACAAGAGTTTCATTCCATAGCTGTCCAAGTGAATTATGCTACACTCACACGGTATTTTGAAAAGCTAAGATAAATTTATCTCAGTCAATCCAATATTATTCCTTCCTTGTTTCATTTGAAGATCACACAATGGGACAGTCATTCTGCACAACAGAGTGTGTGTGTGTGTGTGGTGTGTGGTGTGTGTGTGTGGGGGGCACACAGATGTGTGTGTGTGTAAAGCTGTACAATCTAATCATCACAGCTCTGCCAAGAACATGGCACAACTGTATTTAGGTTTCAGAAATGGAAAGATGAAAAGGCAAAAAAAAAAAAAACCTCCCAAGAAATCATTCTCAAAAGCTGTTTCCAGAATAGCTTCTTGAGAAATTTAAAAATAGGATCCGCTTTATAATGTACAAGTATAAAGCAGGTAAATTCATAGCTAATGACCTTTTAATGGTAGAACCATAAATGGGTATTTCTAAAACATATTCACTTTATCGAATGCCTGAATTGATACTCAGTTATACAGGAATTTTTTCCCACCTCAACAAAGGCTTAAGACAGCCTCCAAAAATTTATACAGAGGAGTTTTATTTTGTCCAGTGAAAGTTCTACTTCCAACCATTACAAGTACCAGAATTTTAAACTTTTACTATAAAAAAACTCTATGGGATTATATAATCTTTCAACCATTTTCTTAACTTGAAATTTTTTTAAGTAAACAAATATGACAAGACAGAATTAAAACTTCATTGATCATAGAATATAAACTGATAGTCAATGAAGTTCTAAGGAAAGTATAAAATGGTGCAATATTGTCATTCGTTTAAAAAAGTACAATTGAAAGCAATTCAAATGAACTATCAACACTTTGACACCAGCTACAAACATAGCAGGCTGTAGCAGGTGCAGAAAGGAAAAAGACATGTGACACAGTTACTGGCAACAGGGAACTTAGTATGTTGAAAGAACATGACACGGAACTCTAAACAAACACTGGATCACAGACATCACAGGATGCAGGTTAAGACTTAAAAGGAAGTTGGATAGGTCAAGTAGAGCATTTTCTGTCAGATAAACCTATTAGACACATTTTTAAAATGAAATATGATATGTCCACACCTCATATCTTAACACCAATCAATAATGCCATCAAAGTAAATTACATGCAACTAAGAAACTTTAACCCATATCTTCCCAATATCCCTCATCACACAGTAGTTATTTTTCATAAGTCTGAATCTCCCACTATACAATAAAATATCAAAGATCGGGGGATGTCCTATTTAACTTTGATTCCTTAGCTCTTGGAACCTACTGGACACATAATGATCCAATGTATTGTTGGTGGGTACATAGCTGAGCAAATGAATGAATGAACAGACAGTGTTATAATAGTAGCTGTTAATTTGGATTTGATTTATCTGAATATAAATATTGATTCTTCATAATAAAACACAGTTCAGAAGGCTTCTACAAAGTGTTTTTTTTATAAAGAGTTGGGGGTCTTGCTCTGTCACCCAGGCTAAAGTACAATGACACAATCACAACTCACTGCAGCTTCAAATCCCCGGGCTAAAGAGATGCACTTCAAACTTACATTTCATAAAACAAATGGCCAAAATTAATAATAAAAAATATGCAAAAGAGTTGTTCCTTGAAGCATTATTCACAATAGGAAAAATGGCAACAATCTAAATTTTCAGCAGCTGGGTGGCATGCAGTTTTATTATGGTCATACACTGATTATGGAACTATTAAAAATGACAAATATAGGCCAAGTGAAGTGGCTCATGTCTGTAATTCCGGCACTTTGGGAGGCCAAGGTGGGCAGATCACTTGAGGTCAGGAGTTTGAGAGCAGCCTGGCCAACATGGTGAAACCCCATCTATATTAAAAATACAAAAATTAGCCAGATATGGTGATACTCGCCTGTAATCCCAGCTACTCAGGAGGCTGAGGCAGGAGAATCATTTGAACCTGGGAGGTAGAGGTTGCAGTGAGCCAAGATCATGCCACTGCACTCCAGCATGGGTGACAGAGCAAGACTTTATCTCAATAAATAAATAAATAAATGCGACAAATAAGAAGGCCTGCAACAGAGAGAAATTAAGATATAACAGGAATAAAAAATGCGAAGAGCAAAGTAGTTATGTATGCTGTAGCTACAAACAGATAAAAATATGTACACATGTAAAAAGACTGCAATGAAATACATACAAAATATACTTAAGCATATAGGTTTAGGACTTACAGGTAATTTTTTTCTACTCTAAACTTTCTGTCAAACTGTTACACTGCGGCCAGGCACAGTGGTCCCCACCTGCAATCCCAGCACTCTGGGAGGCCGAGACGGTGGATCACAAGGTCAAGAGATCAAGACCATCCTGTCCAACATGGTGAAACCATGTCTCTACTAAAAATATAAAAATGAGCTGGGCGTGGTGGCACACACCTGTAGTCCCAGCTACTCAGGAGGCTGAGGCAGAAGAATTGCTTGAATCTGGGAGACAGACGTTGCAGTGAACCGAGATCGCATCACTACACTCTAGCCTGCAACATTGCCATTTATGGGTCCTGTTGTAAAGGTAGACGATTCACAGTAAGTTTCTAACAGTAATTATCACAGTGATCCTTAACAGTAACTTATTTCATCAAATCTAGCTGATATTGACTAGAAGATATGCCAGTATTTTATGTACTAAGAATAAAAATAAAAGTTATATTACATTCATAGGCCTTAAAAATAATACAAGTGCTGCCAATCGTAGCTGTAAAATGTCAGTGACTGCAAGATTTATCAAATTTCAAAGATACTAAAATGTGAAAAGATATGTGTCTTAGAATCAATAAAGTAAGATGTATTATAAAGCAGCAATAAAAATATTTTATTGGTAAAAAGGTGATCACTAGTAGTGACTAGATAACAAACTAATAAATCTATGGAAAATTTGATAGAAATCTCTTAAAGAAATAAATGGCTTGATTCACAAATAGAAGTTTTATGTAAGAATTTTGATAATAAAATACATTACACAGACATTACACCACAGAGGGTAAGTGTTCATCATGCCTCTGAGATAAAATGTTTCTGGTCCAAAAGAATTGAGTAAATGAATTATCAAGAAGAAATTAAATTGCTTGCTTTGACAGCACATATACTAAAATCAGAATAATACAGAGAAGATTTGCATGGTCCCTGCACAAGGACAGCGTGCAAATTTGTGAAGCATTTCATATTTTAATTAGTACATATACATATATCAAAGCATTATGCTGTACTCCTTGAATATATATAATCTTTGTTAATTTTTTTTTTAAAAAAGAAAACATAGCTAGAAAATTCTTGGCTGGGCACAGTGGCTCACGCCGGTTATCCCAGCACTTTGGGAGGCCAAGGTGGGTGGATCATGAGGTCAGGAGTTCGAGACCAGCCTGGCCAAGATGGTGAAAGCCCGTCTCTACTAAAAATACAAAAATTAGCCGGGTGTGGTGGCATGCACCTATAATCCCAGCTACTCAGGAGCCTGAGGCAAGAGAATCACTTGAACGCTGGAGGTGGAGGTTGTAGTGAGCCGAGATTGTGCCATTGCACTCCAACCTGGGCGACAGAGTGAGACTCTCATAAATAAAAGAAAAGAAAAGAAAAAAGAAAAAAATTCTTGATTTCTGAGGATGAGTGAAGAAATGAAGGAAGAGAGGGAGAAATTAAATAAGCCAATAAGCCTAAACAAGATTCCCACCTTCGGTAGAAAGTAAGTCATTAAATTAACTCTTTGAGTGGCATTTCCTTGAAAATAAGACTGAAACTGCCCATGTCACATAATCACAGAGAAGGTCATTCACTGAATTACAGTAACAACAAATTTTTTACATGGGAATAGGGTATAGAGAAGTCATAAGACTACATGTGGAACATCATGATTCAGAAAAGCAGAATTAAAATTGGGAATTTTCAGACACTGGTCTTCTAAAGCTTTCCTCAAGTTCACTCTTTAGCTTTTCATTTAATATAATAATGATAATTAATTAATCTCACCTAAACTTTTAGCAGTTCATCATGAAGAAAACATAAGAAACTTTCCAATTGGTTATCATATTATGAGACACTGCCTTAACCAACCACGAGAAAGTAATCACAATAATGCAACAAATAATAAGAACAAACTACAATGAGTAGTGAGACAAAGGTACTACCCAAGGGGAAAAAAATGGCAGAGACAATCAAGTTAATTCTTTTAAAGCATTGATTATTTAAACCCTTCATACATCTACATATACAAGGCAAAGGTGCCTTTTTCATTGCCAAACTACCAAAAAAAAAGAAAGTCTAATACTGAAATAATCTATGATTTGTGTAAGAATAATTTATAAATGAAAGTCATAAAAGCCAACCTCCAAGAAAAATCAACAAAACCAAGAGGTGGTTCTTTGAAAAGCTTGACAAAATTGGTACTCCTTTAGGTAGGCTGACTAAGAAAAAGAAGACTAAAATCAGAAGTGAAAAGGGGGACATTTCTACTGATTCTACAGAAATCAAAAGGATTGTAGGAATATAATTACCAACAGATTAGATAACCTATATGAAAAGGACAAATTCCTAAACACAAAACCTACCAAAACTGAATCATCAAGAAATGAAAAGCCTAAACGCATCCATAACTAGTAAAGACATTGATTAGTAATCAGAAACCTCCCAACAAAGAAAAGCCAAAGACTAGACGGCTTCACAGCTGAATTCCATTAAACATTTAAAGAAGAATTAACATCAATCTTTCTCAACTCCTCCAAAAATCTAAGAAACACTTTCAAACTCCCGTCAGACAGCATTACCCTGATACCAAAGAAAAACAATTACACTATAAGAAAAGAAAACTACAGACTATTATTTCTTATGAAAATTGATGCAAAAATCCTTAACAAAAGACTACTAAACCAAATTCAAAAGCTTATTAAAAGAATTATATACCATGATCAAGTGGGACTTATCCCTGGAATGCAAGGATAATTCAACATATGAAAATTGATCAATGAAATGTACCACATTAACAGAACAAATAGGAAAAAACACAACATCATCTCATTTGATGCAGAAAGAGCATTTGACAAAATTCAGCAACTTTAATGATAAAAAACACTCAACAAAATAGGAATAGAAGGAAATTATCTCAACACGACAAAGGTCATATATGAAAAGCCCACAGCTAACAGCATACTCAATGGTAAATGACTGAAAGCATTTCCTGTAAGATCAAGAAGAAGCTAAGAATGTCCACTTTCACCACTTCTTATCAACATAGTACTAGAAGTCCTGGCCAGAGCAATCTGGCAAGAAAAAAAAAATCACCTAGATTGGAAAGAAAAAAGTAAAATTATCTTTGTTTGCAGATGATATAATCTCACGGGTAGAAAAATCTTAAAAATTCCACACACACACACACACAAAAAAAACTGTTAGAATAAGATAAAAGTCAAATAAATGGAAAAGGCTGGGTATGGTGGCATGTATCTATAGTCCTAGCTACTCAGGAGGACTACTTGAGTCCAGGAATTCAAGGCTACAGAGAACTATGATCACGTCACTGCATCCCAGTCTGTCTTCCAGACTGAGGCCCTTTCTCTAAAAATAAATAAATATTTAATAAATAAAAATGAATGGAAAGACAACCTGTGTTCATAGAACACTTAATATTGTTAAGTCATCAATACTACTTAAAGCAATGCAATTCCTACTAAAACCCCAGCCATGTTTTCTGTAGAAACAGAAATATCAGCATTTATTTTTTTAAATATATCTTAAAAATTACCAATAATGACCTGTATTTAATCTATAAAGTATATTCAACATCACAAATCAGAAGCTACTAAATCCACTCAGATTCAGTGGATCTAATTTTTCTTTCTCTTTTCTTTTGAGATGCAAGTCTTGCTCTGTCACCTGGAATGGAGTACAGTGGTACCATCTTGGCTTATTGCAATCTCTGCCTCCCAGGTTTAAGCAATCCTTCCACCTCAGCCTCCCATGTTGCTAGGATTACAAGCATGCACCACCATGCCTGGCTAATTTTTTGTTTTTTAGTAGAGATGGGGTATCAACATGTTGGCCAGGCTGGTCTTAAATCCCTGCTCTCAAGTGATCTACCTGCTTTAGCCTCCCAAAGTGCTGGGCTTACAGGTTTAAGCCACTGCACACAGCCAGGATCTAATATTTTTTTTTGTCTGGTTTTGTTTTATTTTTTGAGATGGAGTCTTGCTCTGTCAGGCTGGAATGCAGTGGTACAATCTCAGCTCACTGCAACCTCCACCTCCCAGGTTCAAGCAATTCTCCTGCCTCAGCCTCCCAAGTAGCTGGGACTACAAGCATGTGCCACCATGCCCAGCTAATTTTTGTATTTCATCATGTTGGCCAGAATGGTCTCAATCTCTTGACATTGTGATCCACCTGCCTCGGCCTCCCAAAGTACTGGGATTACAGGCATGAGCCATCATGCCTGGTGGATCCAATATTTTAAACAGAATGGTATCATCACTAGTATTCAGGCCTACAGTGAGACTTTTTACATAAGACAATCACAGGGGAGACTTACTGAGCTCATCATAATCATCAGAAAACAAGTCTGCCATTGAACTTCAAAAGCACACCAAGAGAGCAGTATAATGTCAAATAATGGGGGCAATAGCCTTTTTCAGCAATAGATGCATGGGCCTCCACAAAACAGCTGCAGTCACAAACCAAGGCAGTGTTAAGAATAGTAACTGTCATCATCAGATACAGACAAGTTGAATCTGTTCAAAACTTATGTGAGGTACTTTTAGGACTTATTATAGATTCATAGAATTCATGATGGACAAGGACCTTAAAAATCATGTTACATGTGAAAATCATTTAATGGGTAAAAAAATGAGGACTGTGGAAGAGGTACCTGATGTCTCCAAGGTCACATAAGGAGGTGGCACAACCATGACTATAACTCAGGTTTACTGTGTTCCTCTATCTTCTCTAATCAAACTCCTGAGCTAAAGGTCAAGAGTACTACCTTAGTCTGTTGGTGAAAAGGTCACCACAAAGTGGTTTCTCAAAGACTCCTGACCACATCAGTATATACCCACTATAGTTAAACAGCTCACCTCTGCCCTTGCAAAGGAACCTCCTAGGATTATATGGGGAGCTTACTAATACTAGTCTTTTTGACAGCTGTGGCTAATGCCAATCCCATCGCTGTAGAAAGAGGTTAGGATCTGCACTATGAGAAGTGGACTTCCCATTGTTAATTATCCTGGGAACAGACAGATCCCGAGATAAGAAATGGGAACTAGCAAGGAAAGATTTGGGAGAAGGAAGGAGGAAACCCTCCCTCTTCCAGGGCGGGCCTCATTCGCTTTGGCCTAGATTCTACACATCTAGCTGTGCTAACAGTCACTTCTGAAAGTAGGGACTGGATGGTCTAAACCAGAGAGGCAGCCTGGTGGAGGACCCAGTGAGAAATGGGTCTAGGCCTGCCATAACTAGCAGGTATTTGGGGTTTTTTAAAGTCATAAACTCAACTTCTATCTTCTCTAGGGAATTAAAGACATATTTCCAGATGAGAGATGAAATGGAAATTGGGAAAGCAGAGTCCCCAAAGAGCTATCACAGTGCTTGCAGCGATGCTTAGCAAGGTGTGCCAAGAAAATGGGAATCACTGAGATAGGAATCAAGTTATGATGTCCAGACTCACCTCACCATATGAAGATGGTTTCTATTCCTGATCATCTCAGAGACAGGGGCATTAATATTTATTTATCCAGGCAGGTAACAAAGCTGAGAGAAGGGGCATTAATTTAACTAAGCAATCGACTGGGTTTCCTTGGAAACCATCGTAGGTTAAACACAGATTTCTGGACACTTACAACCCAGGCTGATATCCAGTGGATGGCCATCCAGAACATCTACAGTCAATATCCTTCTGATTGGCCAGAAACTGCTCATTAACTCCAGGCTAAATATCCCTTACCCAAAATGCTTGGGAACAGAAGTGTTTTGAACTTCGCATTTTTTGGTGCGTCATATACTTATCAGTTAAGCATTATAAACCTACCAGTTTACCTAATCTTAAAATCTGAAATCCAAAACGCTCCAATAATGAACATTTCCTTTGAGGATCATGTTAGCACTCAAAAAGTGTTGGTTTTTTTTTTTGGGAAACTCAACCTGTTTTGAGTCTCACCCTTCCAACAATCACATATTTTTCCATCCTCAGTATT